ATTTAATAGTAAATTTTATGTCAATTATTTATTTAATATTTAATATTAAATATTATACCAATTATTTATATCTAATATTTAATAATAAATATTAAATATTATTTCACAAATTTGTACTAACTTTAATTCTAATATCAAATACAAAAGAAACTTATACACCAGGTGTGCATATTCATATCATTCTTTTTTTTTTCGTTCACTTTTATTTTCTTTAATAAATAATAATTTGTCGATCTACATATTTCTATTATTTGATTGAAAATTAATGATTAATTTTAATTAAAAAAAATTTTTGTTAAAAAATATCCACCACATACAATATTTATCATAAAATTACCTAACAGTAATTGGAACAAATTCATTTTTTGTTTTCAGAAAACATTTTTGTTTGTTTCTTCCAATTACTTACTCAAAGAAAAAGGTATGAATTATAGGATTAAAGAAAAATAAAAAGAACGCACAGTGTTTGCAGCTAAGGTGCAAATTTTTTGTACGAAAGTACCTAACCAATAATTCTCACGTAAGAAGTGAACGAAGTCGAATTATCAATTAGCGATAATTAATGCTTCAGATCGTGAAAGAAAAGAAAACAAGACAAAAAAAGATGGAAAAAAGAAGAGAGAGAGAGAGAGAGAGGTTAAAATAGCACTGACGTCACTTCCTGTCGTCTTTCGAACGGCCCCTTTCGAGTTTCCAACGTGCGAATCCAACCCGGTGCTAATTAGCGATTGGCAATAATCAGCAATGTGCTCGTGCAATTTCCATTCTGTGCATGTATATGTATGGTACCTGCGTTTATATATGAATAAATACATACCAAAGTAAATAATATATATGTCAGAAAATACCATAAATACATGCTTATGGTTTTAAAATGATCGTTTAATGCAACACGAGTAAAGGTTTTCAAATCGTACCATACGATTTGACGTTTATCGTTATGGGGTGGTCGATTCATTTTCTGATTCTCGTTATCAACATGCGTGTAGAATATAATATAATATAATACACGAAAGAAGAAGAGTTTGTTAAATGTATATGTATGTATGTATGTGTGTGTGTGTGTGTGTGTTTCTTTATCACCGATTATTAGTTAAAAGCTTTCATTTTAATTTAATCGTACGTACAAGTGCCATGATACGCGAACTTTAATGTTTCTTTTCAATTATACGATTTATATTAATGACAATTATTCTTTCCATACACAATTACGAGTTGATACGTCGTTTTTATTATTGTAATACACTTTTTATATATAATCACGATGACTACGATGTGATTATGGTATTCTTGAATTCTTTATGTTTTTTTTTTTTTTTTGGTTCTTTTTTGTATTTTTATTACCAATCAAATTGTTTTCTTTTTACTGGGTGAATAATTTTTTATGATAATAATGCAACAACATTTTATGGATTATGGTATGGGGATTATTCGTAATCATTTGCAATTGGTTACACGTCGTTTTTTTTTTTTTTTTTTTTAATGATATTAATTTGAATATATTGTTTATATAAATATGTGTGTGTGTGTTTTTTTTTTTAAGTAGTTTTTATCTTTTTGTATAAATTTTGTAACGTGAATGAAAGACCGTAAGAAATGTTGGATTAAGAAGTGAGATCACATTGAAAATCTGAAGTAATGGGGTGATATAGAGAAAGAAGAATGAAATGTATGAATAAGAGAGAAAGAGAAAGAGATTGTTTCATTAAAAGTGACTAGAAGAGAAATTGCTTGATCTCGATCTAGATCGAAATGAAATTCCACATATAACTTTGTACCTTTCTCTTTCACACTTTTTTTTCCTTTTTTTTTTTTTTACATTCGTTCACGTCTTTCATTCAATTTCTTTCCTTCATTTATATTAACAATAAGAATTGAAATGTAAGGAGAAAGAACAATTATTCACTTGTTCAGATTGAGATAGTTAGCATTTTGTTATATTAATTATTAAGTTAGGAATTATTTGATATTTTATTTCACAATAAAGTATTTGTGCAATTATTTAATTATTGTAAAATACAAATGTAAAACAACAAAAATGATTGAAGTGTTCAAATTAAGAAAGTTATTATTTTGTTATGGGAAAGTCAGGAATTATTTGATATTTTATTAAACAATTAGGTATCTACAATTTAAAAATGTTATCATTTTGTTAGAAATTAATCGATATTTTATTAAACAATAAAGTATTTGCAATTATGTAAATATTATAAAATACTAATGTAAAGACAACAAAATTATTAAATTAAAAAATTTAAACATATTATTAAATTAAAAATTATTAAACAAATTAACAAAGTTATTTTGTTAGAAATTATTTAATATTTTATTAAACAATAAAGTATATGCAATTATGTAAATATTATAAAATACTAATGTAAAGACAACAAAATTATTAAATTAAAAATTACTAAACAAATTATTAAATTAAAAATTATTAAACAAATTAACAAAGTTATTTTGTTAGAAATTAATCGATATTTTATCAAACAATAAAGTATCTACAATTATAAATACTTAAAAGAATGAATTTGCACCAGTATTGACACCAATATTAAATAAATTAACAAATTTTCTAATTAATAATTAAAAAAAACTCAACTTTTATTTTACAAATGTAATAATCGAAATACAACGAAGTTAATTTCCAACATGTTTATCAGAAATCATCTTTAACGAAACTTGACATATTACATTTTTAACGTAGATCGTAAGGAGAGAAAAATAGAATCCAAAATGCAACAAAAAGAAAAGAAAAGAAAAAAAAGAAACAAGAAAAGAAAACTAAGAAGAAGCAGAAGAAGAAGAAGAAGAAAAAGTATTGAAAAGATTCGTTTCGCATGGTACTCTTAAAGGTGAATTTAATGAAACGCCAAGTTTTATGATGGACGCGAGTAAGGATCAAGAAAAGGAGATATATTTTCCTTGTATATAAACTTCTTTCTCTCTACGGTATTGTGAAAGAAACAAAAATAAAAAAAAAATAAAAAAAAAATAAGCAAAAAGAAAAAAGTAAAAAGAAGTAGAAATGAAACATACACAAGAAGAAAAAGAACAAAAAGAAAAAGAAAAAGAAGAAAAAGAAAAAGAAGAAGAAGAAGTAGTAGAAACCGATCGTGGGAACTGTCGGGTTAACGTCATAAATTTACTCGCGATGGTTCAGCTATCGGTGCATCCATATTCCACTTCCTGCAATATAAGAGGAGTTAGCGTAGTCTTTAAGGCCATCTGCCTTCATACTTCGATCACAGGATCCACATCCCTCCCTCTTTTACTTTTTTGTTTTGTTCAATTTTTTCTTTTTTTTTCTTTTCTTATTTTCTTTTCATTCTATCTATTCTTGAATCTTTTGCACACAAGTTTAACTGTCTGCAAAATGATCCAAAGTTGGTATGTCTCTCTTCTCTCATGGTAGTAGGTCTTATGTGGTATATAAGTTTACCTTTTGCCAGGTGAATCACGTATTATCCATGAAAAGTTCTTCTCTTTTTTCTCAGTATAACGTAGAAAGAGAAAGAGAGAAGAAAGAATCCTTATTTCTCTCTACTCGCGCATTGGTAACCACCGACATACCTAATACGGCTAACTCAGACGACGAGGAAGCTTTAAAGAAACAGGTAGAGGACGTGTTCTCGACCCAGTAAGGGCATCCTAGCTAGCCCTTTCCGATCTTTTTGTTTTTTTTTTTTGTTTTTTTTTTTTTACTTCAACTTTGATCCTTCCACACCGGGAGACTGCATGAGATCTTATCTCTTCCATTCGCGAACGGGAACGCGTTCGTGGCTTTCGTCTAATAAGATGGGACTCTAACTAAGTGCGAAGAGATGTAGATAAGAAAATGCTAAATGCTTTAAACGAATTACATGATCAAGAAAAAGAAAGGAGAGAAATAGAATGAGAGAGGGAGGGAGAGAGAGAGAGAGGAGGAGGAGGGAAAAGGATGTATAATCATATCTTTTCATCTTAAATTAGTATTGGTGAAAGCGATTATTCGTATAGATAATTTGACCTTCTAAAGAGTTGTGTATATTTATTTTATTATCAAATTACATTATATTTATTTGATCATTATTATTTACGTTTTAAATTAATGATCTGTCTATATGAGGGAACAAATTGTTTTTCATATTATTTTATATTAATTTATCGAATTATGTGTAATACGAAAAAGGAAGGTGATAGTAGCACAATGGGTGAATATAATTAAATTACATAAAAATTAATAGTAATGAAAGATAATTGATTTCTTTGATAGAACTAAAAACTTTTCAACCTAAAATACTCAAATATTTATAATTATAATAATAATAATGATTTGTATATCAATATCTTTTCAAACTAAGGCATATAAATATTTTTCTTTTATTTGCAATAGTTTGTATACCAATACCTTTCCAACCTAACACATTAAAATATTTTATTTTATTTGCAATAATTCGTAAATTAGTATTTTTCCAAACTAACGCATTTAAATATTTTTTTTATTTAAAATAATTCGTAAATTAATATTTTTCCAAACTAACGCATTTAAATATTTTATTTTATTTGCAATAATTCGTATATCAATATCTTCCCAACCTACTACACACTAAAATATGTTTCTTTTATTAGTAATAATCCACATATCACTAATATTTCTCATCAAAATTCCAAAAAACACAGACCCCTTTCATTTTCCCAATTTAAAAAAAAACTAAATAAATAATCTCTAAAGTAATAAAATACTTTTTGATACAACTATCGTATTATCCAAACGATACAGAAAATAACATAATAAAGTTGAAAGTAATACAGAGGCGTGTATTTGTAAGAGGAGTTGTTAATAGTTTTAAGTACGTGAGTGTAATCTTGAAAATATTCAATGTGAACAGTAATTAGAAATTCCAGACGTCGTATGGTCGTATGGTCAACTTTACGAGACATTTATCGACTTCGAAAGACGATCAACGTCGTTAGATCGTGATCCTTATTTTTGATTTTTCTTCTTATTTTCATTTCAGTCGTACCAGCCATGATAATATGACACTCGAGTGAAACGAGCTTTCTGTAAGCGACGGATAGCAGAAGCAGCAGCAGCAGCAGCAACAGCAGCAACAACAACAACAGCATCAGCACCAATAGCAGTAGCAGCAGACTGCATCATGAGGATATTACTTCAGCTTCTGGCCGTCCTGCTGTTAGGCGTCAATGCCAGACGAAGGGACAGTGAAGGGCCTGCGGACGACATCTTTGCTGGACAACGTCGTGTCACTCAGCACAAAATTAATTATAACACCAATAATAACAACAACAATAATAATAATAATAATAATAACAATAATAATAATAATAATAATAATGGTCAAGCATCGAATTCTCCATATTTACCATATCAACAACCCAGAGAAAGGAAACCCAATATCGTATTGATCCTAACCGATGATCAAGATGTCGAACTTGGTGAGTTTAATATTACCATTACTACAAATTTGATTTATCTTATTACTAAAATGTCCTACATATTACTTGATTAAGGTTTACATAAACTTATCGTTAATTAAATTATTATTAATTATTCGTATATCAATATAGACCCCCTCTTAATTTCACCAATTTAATAAAAAAAAAAAAAACACTAAATAATCCCTGAAGTAATAAAATGTTCTTTGATGATACAACTATCGTATTAAAAAAAAATTGGGATATCGTAAATGAAATTTGGAGATAAATTTGATATCGATCAATAAGATGATTTTAAAGTTGTCTTGAAATATTAGACTTATGCCATGTAATACCTAATTCTGTTGTTTGTTGTTCTTTTTCTTTCTTTCATCTATTATCTCCTTTTATCTCGTGCTTGGTCAAATCCCTTAGGTTCGCTGAACTTCATGCCACGGACCTTAAGGCGAATAAGGGACGAGGGAGCCGAGCTGAGACACGCATACGTGACCACTCCCATGTGTTGTCCAAGTAGGAGTTCCTTACTGACCGGCCGTTACGTTCACAATCATGAGGTCTTCACAAACAACGACAACTGCAGTAGCCCCCAGTGGCAACGAGATCACGAACCGCACTCATTCGCCGCTTACCTGAGCAACGCTGGATATCGTACCGGTGAGTTGTTGATTTCTATTTCTATCTCTTTCTTTCTTTCTTTTTTCTTTCATTCATTTTTTACGCTACCGTCATTCACAGAGATGAAGAATTATTCTTACTCTTTATTTCTTTATGTGAAGTACTTCTTCAATCTTACTTTTCATGCATTTCAATGAGATCAATTTTCAAGGTCTACATTTCAACTTAATCGTCAATCGATCATTATATCACGAAACTATCTTACAAATTACCACATCGAATACATATAATGAATCAATAATTTTTTGTAATAACATGATTTTTTTTTTGTGGTTTCTGTTTTTGTTGTTGTTATTTAGATGTAGGTACATGTAGAGTAATCGTTGCATTAGCAATTTGCAATTTTCTTCATGTCATAGTTCTATGAAATTGAAATAACGTATGGTTGTTATATTTTATGTTTTTATTTAAAAAAAAAAAAAAAAAAAAAAAAAAAAATAAAATATGATGGTTGTTAATGGATTAAAAAAATTGAAATAGAAAGTGAATTCGATCATTGTAACAATAATTTTCTAAAATTATAAAAATAAAATAATAAATACAAAAATACAAAATAATAAATAAATATAAATAATAAATACAAAATAAATAAATAAATATAAAAAATACAAAATAAATAAATAAAAATATAAATAAAAAATAAAAATAAAAAATACAAAAATAAACAATAAATATAAATATAAGTATAAATAATAAATATAAATAAAAATAATAAATAAAAATAAAAAAAAATACAAATAAGATACAATTAATAGAAAAATATTATTAAATTGTTAATATAATAGAAAGTAGACTTTATTAATATCGGAAGCACATTCTGAGCGTGTTAGGTGTCTATAAAAGTTGATAGTAAATTTTCTCTTTTTAAAATCAATCTCTTAAGTGTACTCTTCTGTTAGTCTCATACAAAAGAAATAAAGAGTGGTAAAAAGAAAGAAAAAAAAAATAACAGAAAGAAAAAAAAAAAGAAGAAGAAGAAGAAGAAGTTTAATTGACACCGGACGTAAAGGAATAACGAGCGTAATTTGTATCGTTCTTAATGTTCTCCACTTGAACCCTCTTCTCCTTTTCTTTATCACCAAAGCACGTTCATCTCTACCGTTGAAAAGAGAAAATGAATTTCTCTAGGTGGATTTCTCAGGTGCTTCTTACTTACTTACTTACTTACTTAAAAGAAAATAGAAAAATAATAAAAAAAAAAAAACAAAACAAAAAAACAAAAGCATCGTGATGAGGTACGCGAAGTTTAAGCACACAGGGTTTTACAACACACAAGCGGGAACGTCAAAGAAGATTTCTTCTGACGTGAAGAGCTTGTGCGGGATTCTTACGGCAAAACACGAGACATGGGGTCTCACGTTTAATGGTCGTAAGCGGTCATAGAGTTACTATTTGTTCCCTCTAACACACACACACACTTACATACATACACATCCATACATATACATATACACATGTATAGACGTGTCTGAAGTCATCTTCTTTCTTTTATCTGTCACATTCGGTGTATAAGTGTATTTTGTGATGTGTCAGTGTGTATGTAACTCGAAGTAATCTGCGCGTTCGCCGTGACAAATCCTTGTTACATAAACAATTACCCGAGAAAAGGGGTTCTGAATAGGGCGTTTTAAAGCGATATAACTTCGAAAGGCTTTCGGCTTCGCTTTAAGGAAGCATTGATAATGCCCTTGAAAGTGAACCACGTAACGAATCACCCATTTTCCGCATTAACGTTTGTACGATGCCTTTTCCACCACCACCTCCTCCTCCTCTTCCTCCTCCTCCTCCTCATTCTCATCCTTGTTGTTGTTGCTGGCTTGGTTAACTTCGGTCAGCCGTGAACAACTCACAAATCTCTAGGATATCAATTACAATTCTCATCTTATTTGTATTTCATAAAAAGCGAACGGAAGATAATTATTTCCAGTTAAAACCTTCCTTTTTTTTCTTTTTTCTTCTTCTTCATAAGATTTATAATAATAGTATGGAAGATATAATGGAGATTGCGTTAATGCAAAAAAAAAAAAAAAAAAAAAACAACAACAAAATTACTGTGTTTTATGATAAAAGGAATAGAAATTAATTGCAGCTATTAAAGTAACTGATATAAAAATTTACATAAAATTGATAGTAATTACAACAACGTGTATTGTATCAAACATATTTTATGATTACATAATTGTGATATAAATTTTAATTATAAAATCTAGGTGAATTTGAAAAGTTTGAAGTATATCTTAAAAATGAATTGTATTTTTCAAAATAAAAATAAAAAGATATTATTTAACATTGAATACATTGATTACTGTATATCCTAAAAACTAATTGTATTTTTCTCAAAACTCAATACTTTTCAAATATGTAATTTAAATGTTAAAAAATAAATAAAAAGATAATATTTAACATTGGATATAAATTGATTGCTTTATTATTAAATAAAAATTAAATATAGAAATTATTTATAGTTAAATATAAATATTATTGAACTGTGTGTAGAAAACCATTGGTTAAGGATAAAATCAATTTCAATATCTAAAATCACTTTGGTCCATGATTTATGGATACCTTCAATGTCCTTTTCGTTATTTAGAAGGGTAGAATGGGTACATACCATAGAGAGTAGAAACTCGCGTTTCATAGTACAGTTGGTGAAATAAGAAAGAGAGAGAGAGAGAGAGAGAGAGAGAGAGAAAGATAGAAAGAGACTAATATAGGGGATGCACATTCCCTCGGAATTCTCCGAGATTCGATCTTGTTGGACGAGTTAGTCCGGCACGATCGACCACAATTGCACGATCCCTTCTTGCCAGACCACAAATCTTCGCCACTCTCTGACGAAGTCTCCTCCTCTTCCTCTTCCTGCACGTTTCTTCGTACGAAAGTCCAAAAAACATTCGCTAGAGTAGATAGTCCAAGGTTTGGATCCAAGGTAATCTTTCGTGTAATGTTGAAAACGATCGATCTTCAAACGTTGAGAACAATGCCATATCTTTCCAGAAGACCTTTTATATCTTTCTATCTATCTTTCTCTTTCTCTTGTTCATTCTATTACATTATACCAAAGTTTATATGAGAGAGAAGATATAGAATACAGAGAACTGTAAAGTACTAGTTTCGTGTTTGAACCAAGAAACTAAGTCGAAGTAGCAGTAGGTTCAGTTTATGGTCACGATCACAACCATGAGATACATTTTCAATGATTTCAATGAAATATTAGAATTAGTTAAAATAGATAGTATTGTTATTCCATGTCACGTTTGTATAATAATAACTTCTATATTATTATTATTTCTCTTATAATAATTACTTTCTAAGTTTCTATACTATGTCGATTCATTTAAAGTTTATGTGGATCCATCGATCAAATCATTTAAGATAGTAACAGTAAAATGACATGTTATGATCAATGACATAGTAGATGCTTGGATTATCTGGAGTGTAGTATATGTTCAAACTCTAACATTCTCCATTGGGATTTAATAAAAAGAAAAAGAAAGAGAAAGATCAATTCTTTAGGGAGATAAGAAAGTTAGTATTCTTTGATTTGTAGTTGGTCTATTTTATTTTTTTATTTTATTTGATTGATATGTAAACGTTAACTTGTTAGTATTTTAATTGGGTGGTCAATATATTGTAGTAGTAGCAAGATTGAATTGAAAGTTTTATCAAGATTAATTATAATATAATAATAATAATAGATGCATACGTGTTTAAAATACAATCTTAGTGTTTTATATATAATAATTAATAATTTAATAATTTATTATAAATATAAATAATTATAATAGAATATATACATAATAATTAATAATTTATTTAAATTATATATTAAAAAATATTGACCCAATAAATAATTCTTTTTTTTTATATTACTCACACGGAGCACATTCGTAATTTGAAGAAGAGGATAAAGGACATTGCTCTCTCTCTTTCCAAGAGAGAAAAAAAAGAGAGAGAGAGAGAGAAGAAGTTCAGCCAGGTTTCTTCTTCCTCTGTACTCCACATCCGGCATTGGATTGGCGTCCTTCCAAAATTCAGAACGCAAAGAGACACACAAGATAGCCTTTCTCTTCTTCTTCTTCTTCTTCATCTTCTTCTTCATCTTCTTCTTCTACTTTGTCGTCCATGAACATTTCCTCTCCGACGGAGACCTCTTTCTATCTTCCACAATTCCAGCAGTCTGTTTTTCATCTCGAATGTACCAGACATCTCTCAAACCGTTGCTTGGATAATTAACGCTCAGATGTTTTGCTTGTTCCATTTGAACGAACGTTTTACTCACAATCTCATTATAGTACAAAAGTATAGGTAATACATATATATATATATATATATATTTAAGGAGTATAGGTCAAGGATAATAAAAAAAAAAAATTGATGATATTCCGATTTTGAAGATACCCTTGTTTTTTTTTTTTTTTTTAAACTTGAAGTACGTAAAGAAAGATGTCCTTGAACGAAATGGGGGGGAAGAAAAAAAGAACACGAAAAAAGAATCTCTTACCAAAGTTAATTATAACTCGAAGGTATGATTACGTATACATATGTATACATGTCTATGTATATTGATGTGACACGTCTGAAGATACTTTGTAAAGTATATAATATCCACATGGCAAGATTGATATCGTTAATTACTCTAACGTCGATTAATCTTCTTTCTCGATCATTTCAAAGAAAATTATGAAGATCGTTTTGAAGTGTACTCGTTAAATATTCAAGCTTAGGCTAACTAATAATGTCGAATGAACGATGAGATGATGATGAGTTGTCGGATGTTCTAGGTAATATGTAATAATAATTATTTACAGAACTTTTTCAAAGATTCGTTCTATGATCTTCTAACCTTAAGTGAGAAAGGGATTAGCAAATTAAAGGAAAAAAGTAGAGATAAGGAGATCGATGACGAAAGGATGAGAAGAGTTGGAAAGGGAAGTGTTGGGAAGGGAAATGAAAGGTAAAATGAAATGAAGGAAATG